AGGCAAAGGAGTTCACTCAAGCTTTTGGGTTTTTTTTTTTTTTTCTTCTGACAAAAGGTCTCAATCTGCAGCCCAGGCTAGAGTGCAGTGGCATGATCGCAGCTTACTACATCCTCGACATCCCTGGTCTTCAGTGATCCTCCCACCTCAGCCTTTAGAGTAGCTGGGTCCACAGGCGTGCGCCACCACTCCTGGCTAATTTTTGGGTATTTTTTGTAGGTGATGCTGATGTTACTGGTCTAGAGACCATTCTTTGGGAACCACTGCTTTAAGAGCAATGGTTCTAAACCGTGAATATGGATTAGAATCAACTTCGAGCTTTAAAAAACAAACCATGCTCGGCCAGGTGCGGTGGCTCGCACCTGTAATTCCCTGCACTTTGGGAGGCCCAGGCAGGCAGATCACTTGAAGTGAGGAGTTCGAGACCAGACTGCACAACACGGCAAAACCCCAGCTCTACTGAAAAATACAAAAAATTAGCCAGGTGTGGTGGCACAAGCCTGTAATCTAATCCCAGCTACTTAGGAGGCTAAGGTACAACAATTGCTTGAACCTGGGAGGTGGAGGTTGCAGTGAGCCAAGACCACACCATTGCATTCCAGCCTGGGTGACAGAGTGAGACTGTCTCAAAACAAAAATAAAAAACAACCATGCTTAGGCCCTACTCCCAGAGATTCTGTTCATTTGGTATGGGGATGAGGTCTAGTCATTCATAATTTACAAATCTCCCTCGGTATTTGAAATGTGCACCCTGAGTTAAGAAACATTGACAAGGCCTAGAGCCATGGCCAACTTCATTTACTTCTTGTGGCTTTTGCCCTAATTCTTTCCTTTACCTGGTGTGTTCTTCCTCTAGGTCTTTCCATGAATCCTCCTTGTCATTCAGGACTCAGATTAAATGCTATTTCCTCAGGAAGACCTTCCCTGATCCCCACAACAAGCTAAAATAACACACCCACATTTATCACACTGTCCTGCTTGTTTTCATGGCTGAATTATTAACAGCAGTTCCTGAGATTTCTCTATTTGTGCTTATTGTCTGTTTCTTCCAACTGTCATATAAGTATCTTGAGTACAGGCACTTTGTTTTATTCACTGCTGTATCCTCAGCACTTAGAACGGTGTCTGGCACCTATAGGTATTCCAATACATGTGAATGAAAGAGAAAAAGGTCTTTTAAAATAAATTCTTTTAGTTCTTCTGATGGCTGTTTTCTTTTCCCTTTTTTTTTTTTTTTGGAGACAGAGTCTCACTGTCGCACAGGCTGGAGTGCAGTGGTGTGATGTCGGCTCACTGTAACCTCCACCTCCTAGGATCAAGTGATTCTCCTACTTCAGCCTCCCAAGTAGCTGGGATTATGGGTGTCCACCACCATGCCCTAATTTTTGTATTTTTAGTAGAGACCAGGTTTTACCATGTTGGCCAGGCTGGTCTCCAACTCCTGACTTTGGGTGATCTGCCTACCTCAGCCTCCCAAAGTGCTGGGATTACAGACGTGAGCCACTGCGCCTGACCCTGACAGCTATTTTCAACTGGCTTTTAATAGAATGTGTTTTACTCATGCAATATAATTGAACTATCCACGAAAAAAGCACAAATTGATTTTTTTTTTGGTGAATATATTTTAATTTCACTAGGTTCATTCCCTTCACAGGAATCTATATTAAATCTGCTACAAAGTAAACAATTATCCCTTAATGTGTGTATATATACATATGTATGTATATATATATATATATGTATATTGGAGACAGAGTCTTGCTCTGTTGCCAGGCGCCAGGCTGGAGTGCACTGGCCTATCTCAGCTCACTGCAACCTCCGCCTCCCAGGTTCAAGCAATTCTCCTGCCTCAGCCTCCCAAGTAGCTGGGACTACAGGCGCACGCCACCAAGCCTAGCTAATTTTTGTATTTTTAGTAGAGACGGGGTTTCACCATGTTGGCCAGGATGGTCTTGATCTCTTGACCTTGTAATCTGCCCGCCTCGGCCTCCCAAAGTGCTGAGATTGCAGGCGTGAGCCACCGCGCCCAGCCCCTTTAATGTATTTTTATATATGGTATTTGTTCCTAATGTTGCTACAGTTCACATAGTAGGGCAGCTGGGTCTGGCCAGGATAACATTTATTAAATCAAGGGATTGCTGCTTAGAACTTCGGTGTTTGTTTTTGGAGACAGAAGACAGGGAACAGTAATTTCTAGAAGAGTAGAATGGTATTCAGGCAACAAAAGAGTCACAGGAAAACAAGAAGGCTCTAATTCCTTCTAAAAGAGGGACACATTTACCCCTCTATTCTTCTGGGGGCACCTCTTTAACAAATGAATGTAATCTGGCGGAAGCAGGGAGTTTTAATTTTAGGTGGAGACAGAATAGTTGAGATTACTAAAGTGTCTCGTTTCGCAGAGGTGTAAGCCAGTGCGGCAAAATCTCCAAGCTGTGGGTCACCTGTCGCTTGGTCTCAAGGAGGCAGCTGAGTCTAACTTACAATTCAGGCAGGTGATCTGAGGGCAGTACAGCTGTCCTTAAGTCACCTGCGGGCCATTTCTGAAATGCGTTACCTCCAAAAACATAGAACAGAACATTTGTTGCAAGGGAAAAATGCGATTTCCCGTCCTGACCCGTCTCTTCGGCAGGGACCTGAGTACTTCCTCAAAGTCCCAAATTTCCAATCTTCTCCCCCGTTAACAGGGCTAGTTGCATGAGCAACCAGTTTTTCAGCCAGCCGCCTCCTCTTTCCTCCCTCAGCGTACTTCATCGATCACGGCTAGAAACAAAACGACTTTGTGTATGGAATAATGATTGAAATCTCACCGGCGCCTCAGCAGGAGGGGCAACCAGCTCCGCGGCTTTGGAGAATGCCAGCCCACCGCCGTCGGCGGCCAGAGCAAAACCGAAGCAGAGGCCGGAGGATGGAAGCAGAGAAACCCGAGTGGGCGGTGCATTCTGGGAGTTGTAGTCCATGCGCGACAACGCCCCCCCGTCTGCACCAGGCGCTGTACTCCAACTCCCAGCCGCCCCCGCGCCGCGGAGGAGGGGAGCTCGCTGATGAGCTGCCGCAGCGGGAGTGGGCCTAGGGCCGAGAAGCCGCTGCAGTACCGGCCAGGAGACGCTGACAGCTGGCATCCCTAGGGGCTCAGGGACCCTTGGGTGGACAGCGACGAGGGACCTTGTGGCAGCTGTGTGTCCCTGAGTTCGCCTTCCGTCCTCCCCACAGACGTGCAGAGTCCGCCATGGAAGCGCATCCGGCCGCCGCCTGGGTCTCCGGCAGCCGCGGCCTCGGCTTCCCGGGGCGATGAAGGACTAGGGCGCCTGCCTCCGGCGCTCTGGCTAGCCAGGCGGGAAGGGGATCGGGCAGGCTGGCGGGCGGTCCCGCAGTGCCCGCCTTTGCGCCGCCCCGCCCCCTGGGGGCGCTGCCGAGGGGGCGCCAGCCGCCCATGCCGCCCCGGCGCCCAGCCGCGCCCGGCGCCCGCCACTGAAGCTCAGGACGCGCCGCCGCCCGCGCCCACCGCCGTCCGCGCCCGCCGACTCGAGCCGACCGTCCTCCTGCCCCCAAGATGTGGCACAGCGTCGGGCTGACCCTCCTCGTGTTCGTGGCCACGCTGCTGATCGTCCTGCTGCTGATGGTGTGCGGTGAGTGGGGGCGGCAGCCGCGGGGCAGTTCCACACCCCGGGTCTATCTGTTGGCATTGTCTTTTTAAAAAACAAAAGGGCGTGGACGGACAAGTGTCAAAATCAACTGTTGTCCCCTAGCATCTCAGGGCTAAGCGCAGAGGTGGGCCCCTTATCCATGGCCGGCCCTCGGGCATCCTGGGGAGGGAAAGGACAGGGTCCAGGGGTGAAACCCTGTCTTGCTTCACCGACAACGTGTGCTCTTGATTTCATTCTCACCACAGGCTGCTCAGATTGTAACCTTGGCCTGCATTCGAAGGTGAAGCGATTGGTTAGTCTTTTTTCTTCTGCACAGATCCTGACCTTAATAATGAGAGGTGTCACCTTTGTTTCATCAGCTGGTGGGGTAGAGTTGGGTTTTCAGCACGTGTGAAATTGTTTACTTAAACTCAATTCCAAGAAGAGATGTCGAGACCAGGCAGAGCTTAAAAACACCGGCTATATTAAACTTACAGGGTCAGGTAACATAACTCTCAGTTCTATAATAATGGTGCTGTTTTTGAATGCTGTGCGTGCTTTCCTTCTTGGAATGAGAAGACGTTCATTCATTATGAACGTTAGGCCAATTTTAGAGCTTTTTGATTTCTTTATACATAATAGCTGATAACCACAGGCTTCTTAGCAAAGTGGCTGAGCAATTGTGAAAATCTAAAAAGTATGTAGAACACGTCATTGAGTTTACACATATTTATAAGACTGAAGTATGGGTTCAGTTTGATATAATAATGGGTCAGAATTCATATAGATACTATAGGTTTATTACACGATAAATGTACAAATTAATATTCAGTGACACTGTGCTTGGGGAAGATAGGTGTGCACTTGTGCATATGCATGTATATGTATTCATATATTTGTATGTTTATTTTATTTTTTGAGATGGAGTCTTGCCCTTGTTATCCAAGCTGGAGTGCAATGGCGCGATCTTGGCTCACTGCAACCTCCTGGGTTCAAGCAGTTCTCCTGCCTCAGCCTCCTGAGTAGCTGGAATTACAGGCGCCCACCACCATGCCCTAATTTTTGTATTTTTAGTAGAGATGAGGTTTCACCATGTTGGCCAGGCTGATCTTGAACTCCTGGGTGGATCATGTGATCCACCCACCTTGGCCTCCCAGAGTGCTGGGATTACGGAAGTGAGCACCATGCCTGGCCTTGTGTGTATGTTTAAAATTTGTTGTGCTTTACTATAATACCAGATTAAAGCTTCTAATTTACCAGGCTTTCTTTTCTGATGAGATAAAGCAATTGAATAACCTTTCTCAATTTTCTGCTTGTGATGTCAACAAGCCAAAGAATATTAGAATATTGAACTAATTGTAGATGTTTAAGGTTCTTGAAGTAAGGGAAACAAGTTCCTTGTGATACGTTTGGATGTGGGGAAGAAGGGAACTTTCTAGTTTGAATATGCAAACTACCTAGGCATGGGGTTGGGACGTGTAGACCCTACCACGTCTTGGCTAGGATATTTGCCAAACTTACCTTTGTGGCTTCAGAATTCCTAATTGCTCTCTCATCTCTAAACAGCTATTTGATGGTGTAATTACATATTTTTCTAAAAGTGCTTTTAGTTTCAGAAACATTAAGGAATAAGAGAGATGGGGTGTTCTAGGACAGCAGTCTCCAACCTTTTTGGCACCAGGGACTCGTTTCATGGAAAACAGTTTTTCCACAGATGGGGCAGGGTTGATTTTGGGATGAAATTATTACGCTTCAGATCATCAGGCATTAGATTCTCATAAGGAGCAAGCAACCTAGATCCTCCTATGCACAGTTCACAATAGGGTCCGTGCTCCTGTGAGAATCTAATGTACTGCTGATCTGACAGGAGGCGGAGCTCAGATGGTAATGCTCAGCTCTTGCATGGACCAGGGACCTGTGTGCTAGGGTGGGGGACCCCTGTGCTAGGACACCTTAGTTGGTTGGAACGGCCAAGACTAACAGCTCTATGAAGAAGTAATCAGTACCTTTTTTTTTTTGTTGGGAGAACTAATGATGGAGTAACCTCATCTTTTGACTAGGATGGGGCTGGAACTTGGGGAGAGGAGGTAAGGATCAGACCAGACCTGAGAGAGAAACTGGGCTGCCATGACAAAATACCAGAGATGGGTGGGTGGCTTAAACAACACATTTATTTTCCTTTTTTTTTTTTTTTTTTTTAATTGGGGTTTTTTTTTTTTTTTTTTTGAGATGGAGTTTCACTCTTGTTGCTCAGGCTGGAGAGCAATGGTGCAATCTCAGCTCAGTGCAACCACCGCCTCCCGGGTTCAAGCAGTTCTCCTGCCTCAACCTCTTGAATAGCTGGAATTACAGGCAGGAACCACCACACCCAGCTAATTTTGTATTTTAAGTAAAAACGGGGTTTCTCCATGTTGGTCAGGCTAATCTCGAACTCACGGCCTCAAGTGATCTGCCCGTCTTGGCCTCCCAAGGTGTTGGGATTACAGGCGTGAGCCACCTTGCTGGGCTGAACACACTTATTTTTTTACAGCTCTGGAAGCTAGAAGTCAGAGATCAGCAGGGTTGATTTTTCTCCTGAGGCTTCTCTCCTTGGCTTGTAGATGGTGGTCTTCTCCTTGTGTAGTCACGTAGTCTCTCCTCTGTGTGTTCTATCTAATCGCTTTTTAAGGACATCAGTCACTGGATTATGGCCCCCACCCTTTTGATTTTAACCTTAATTATCTCTTTAAAAAGCCAACTGAGGCAGTTCACGCCTGTAATCCCAGCACTTTGGAAGGCCAGGGCGGGCAGATCACTGAGGTCAGGAATTCGAGACCAGCCTGGCCAACATGGCAAAACCCCATCTTAAAAAAAA